AGTTTAGCTTTTATCATACGAAAGTTTCAGAACTGACGTATTTTACCGCTGCACTAATTCACCCCCCCCCCCCCCCCCCTCCTTAGTGCCGACTCTTTTCCTAACAATTGGTATCAGAGCCTCGTATTTCTTATTTGGTTTAACACCCAAGAGAAATAACTCTTTTCAGCTTTTAAGAGGGTCACTCTTTTATTCGTCCTCCCTTGTTCAATGGGATATACTACACATATTAGAAAACTCGAATGAGAGTTTTCTTGTTTTCTTTTGAATTAAATCTATGGAGTATTGTTGAAAATGGCTTTAAAAAATTTTCTAAACTAATGAGCGAATGGAATGATTTGGAGAAGAAGATTTTTTCTTTAAATGGTAGAGCTATGAACACGCTATTTTGTGCCTTAGACAAAAATGAGTTTAATCATATTTTTACTTGCGAAATGGCTTTCGACATTTAGCACATTCTTGAAACCACTCACAAAGGCACTAGTATATTAAAAGTTTCGAAGGTCAATCTTTTAATTCATAATTTTGAACTATTTCGAATGAAGCCAAGCGAAACCATTATTGACATGTACACCTATTTTATGGATATCGTCAATGGTTTAAAAGCTCTTGACAAATACTTTTCTAATTTTGAACTTGTTAACAAGATTTTATGATCGCTTTCTAGAAATTGGGATTTGAAAATAATGGCCATTCAATAATAATAAAAATTGAATACTTTTTTGATCGAAAAACTTATCGAGTTTCTAATTACCTATGAAATGTTGTGCAATGCACGTGAAGAACTTGAAAACCACCTTCCAAAGAACAGGAATGATTTCAGACTTAGAAAATTGAATATCACTCAAGCATAAGCTTAAGTGATGGTGAACTTGAACTCCTCATGAAATTTAAAAAGTTCATGAAACAATAATCAAAAAATAAAAACAAACTTAAAAAGAACACAAATTGGAACGAATCAAGCTCAACGAGGAGAAAAACAAAGGCGAGGTGGCAAACTAAGCCTTAATGTCATTTGTCGACGAGGTAAACAAAATTCCCTTAATTTATTTCGAAATTACATAATACTTTTAATGAGTTATTTTTAATTTAGTTTAATTATTTTTCTTAAAACTTATATATTTAATAATATAATAAAAATACTAAAAAATTAGGATCATGCTTATCATTCTAGTAATTTTGAAAATGAACATGAAAATTATATATTTTATGATAAATGAATAAAAATGTTAGACTTAAATCTAATGATCCTATGTATGTTTTTCAAGAATAAATAATATGTATCTTGATGATTTCCAATTTTGATTGAAACCATGCTTGATGTCTTAATGGAAATATTAAGAAGTTTGATATCATGCTTAATGATGATGCATGACTTTTATATGGAAAACTAAGCATGAAAAGTTAGATTTACCTAAAAAGAAAAATATATGACTACAATAAACAAAATGATCTTGGTGGAAAATACTTTATGTTTGATGAAATCAATTTCGATGATGCATAATGATATAATTATATAATAAAAATATTAAATATTTTGAAACCATGTTTGATGTCATGCATAATGATCATGCTTAATAAATTTCAAAATTATGCATGATGATTCTTAAGATTTATGGATTATTAATTTTTATGGTAATGAAAGTGGCTTTTTCGGTTATTTAAACGTTGATGCATTTTTTTATTTGGCATAAATAAAATAAATCACATGAATTAAAATAACTAAAAAGAGGAAAGGTTTTTCTTTGAAAATTTTATTTTTCCCTACTTTATCGACTTTTAAAAAAGAAGAGACTAATGAACCTATTTTTATGAATCTCTTGGACCATGAAAATGATTTTGATGAGTTAAATTTGAATAATTTTTTATCCAAATCTTTCGTATATTCTTGAGATTTATGAATCAAAATCTTATATCTCATATGCTTCTTTTTATCATTTATAAAAGAGAAAAATTATCCAAATGCATCATGAATGTTCTTTCGGTATTCATGAATTGATTATAACTTGAGATTTATTATGAATCAAGATTTTTTATTAATCGTTCTCCTATGATTTTACTTGTTAACTTGAGGAGATTTTCTAAATGAATCTTGATTTTTCTTATGAGTTCTTGGATTTATTATTTGAGATTTTTTTTTCAAGATCTCTTCTTTGTACACCTATGAGTTTTATTCT